CTCTCTCTCTCTCTCTCTCGCTCGCGCACACACACACAAAATGGCTCGTTCCACTCCACACACACACACAGAGCCGAGCTTTAATGAAACACAGAGACCCCGACGTAATAGTACTGTATCATATTATTTTCGAATCAATAATTTTTCAAAATATGATTTATTTTTTTAATAACCATTTTTCCTCCTGGTCTCTCGCGCCCCTGGCATACCTCTGCGCCCCACACTTTGAGAACCACTGCTCTACTGTGACATGTCTCCATGCTTTAATGTTCAAAATGCTCTTTATTTGTCTCATACTGCCTGTGCTGCAGCACCTCTTTTCACCCTCTGTCTGAAACCAGAGCCTGTCTGCTCTGATTGGTTAGCTGGAAGGCTTTGTTGTGATTGGTCAACCGCTTTGAGATGTCCCACCCTGTAGCCTATCAAATACAATGCGTTGGAGGCGCACTAGCCAATAGAAGCGTGAGTGTTATATAGTGATGTCACTATGTTGTGGAAGTAAAGAAAGGAATAAAATGGAGGTGTTTCAGGCAGGGGGGGGAGAGAAACTCTTTCTGGAGGGAACTTTAGCCTTTGCAGACCATTTACATGCACAAAAACTTATATAACACACTACAGGAAAGGGAAAAACCAAAATGCATAAAAGGGCCCCCCTTAATACTAGCAGCACACCAGACACATACATATGATGGAAGGGGCCTTTCTCCCCCCCTGCCTGGCTCCATCTAGACTTCCCCATTTTCCTCCACACAAGGTCACTCTTTAATCCAGACGTAGAGATGTTTGGATCATTCTAAGTCTGTTCCCTCCCTTGGGACCCTATGCCGTCATACCATTTCCAGGAGCTTTTGCCGTTTTGACTACCTCACACCTTAAGGAGTCAACATGTTATTTATTTAGTTTTAAATTGGCCCCAGAGGGAGATGAAACGTTTTGTATTGGGTTGTTTGTGTATCTCTCTTTATTGTTGTGTATTTCACTATTATTTATATTATTGAACTAAATATACATAAATATAATTAGTTAGATGGCCTGTTTCTCTTCAGTCCTGCTGCTAGCCTTAAGAAAGCAGCTATGACGAGGCACAGTGGATTTGTGAATGTCATCTTTACGCCATCTTCTCATTAAACTTCACCAAACCTTAAAAAGGTGGCTGCTGCTATGATTGTCTGTTTTTTGGTTTTAAAAACGTATGTATATATATATATATATATATATATAGATGCTAATTTAGAACATTGTTGACATCTCTTCTCCTTTGCGATATCTTCAAACCCTATTTTTCATGTAATTTCAGTGTGAGCTGGAGGATAAAAGGAATGATATAAGTTCTAATTAAAAACACTTGTTGCATTTGTTAAGTGCTAGATTTCCTATATGTAACACTTGCATATACAGATATATGAGCGCATGGCTTTTCACTTGATGCCTGTTATTAGTGGAAATTATAGTGGTCCAAACAGGAGCCCCCAGATGACTTGTTCAAATGCCTTTTTGCAGGCAGTGCTGTTATACTGCATATATGTTTAAATCAACCTTGGATTCCATCATCTTTCAGCACTTAAAGTTTCAAAGAATTCACTTTAGCCTGATTTCAAAGAGAATCTGACATGAGACCATACATCAAACATCTGAGAGCAGAATGGTCAAACAGTTCATATAATAAATGATGAATGCTTGGAATGAAAAGATGTATCGTAAGTCAAAACTAATACAGCTCACTTTGACAGTTAAATGTACACATATGCAGGTGACTTACCCTCAGGCCAAGGCTTGGGTCCTGTGCTTTGATTGTGTCCTTGCATGGTTGGGGTGGGGCAGGGGCTTGACTGCAGCCCACCCAAAGGTACCATTGGCATACCTTCCAACACAAAATAAATAAATATATTAATAATTGTGAAAAGAACAGATGAGACCGTGATGGGTAGGCATCTTCAGTTTGATAACACCGTTTTAATGTTTGAACAGTTTTATGCTTCTTCAAATGTTTACAGATGGCAGCTTTTCTCCGTTTCATATCATTGTTAACTGAATACATGTAGGGTTTTGACGGTTGGTNGTGTGCCTTGGCAGTCTGAGACCGTGATGGGTAGGCATCTTCAGTTTGATAACACCGTTTTAATGTTTGAACAGTTTTATGCTTCTTCAAATGTTTACAGATGGCAGCTTTTCTCCGTTTCATATCATTGTTAACTGAATACATGTAGGGTTTTGACGGTTGGTCTGGTAAAAGGTTATTTGAACATGCCATCTTAGGTTCTATAAAAATGATACTGGGCTTTTTGACATTGACCTTTTATAGACTTATTAGTTATTCAATGAATTATACAAAATAGTAAGACTATTTTAGGGTTAACCTGACAGTTTAATCTTATTACATTGAAGAAACCTCTAACACAGATCATTCTCAACAAAAGGCCTCCAAACAACAGTGCAGTAATAATTCTCATGATATATGATGTTATTATTACATGTGGATTAAGGATGCATCAGACACTAAAACATAGTGCACAGTAATACCAATATCTTACATAATAATACATATATTATTCTTCTACATAACCACAAAAGCATAATGTGCATTATATCAATGGTTTACATTCTTTCTTTACACTTTTAATGGAACATAAACACTGCTATACCAGGAGATTTGTCAACCAAAGGTGTGGATGCAGTTGGATCAAAATTGTGTTGCTTTGAGATATAAACCATCTAGATTTGAAGGTCGCCTCACTCACATATCATGGAGGACACGCAGGTCATATAAGAGTGTCAGATTTGTTTGGAAGAGTTGAATGGAAACACAAAGTGAAAAGATATAAGTAAACATTCTGTATGAGTGTGTCTTCTTACCTGGAGGCCTGTTGTAAGGACTAGCACTAGGTGCCTGCTGATGCTGCTGCTGCTGCTGCTGAAGCTGCTGTTGTTGCTGCTGCTGTTGCATTGTGGGTAGAGTTCTCTTGCCCTGAACAGCTAGTTGGAGGTTTTCTGGCAGGGGTTGGCCTCGGCCCAGGATCTTGTAGGCCAGGATCTGCGCTCTGAGCTGCTGCAGCTGCACCGGACTGAAGGCAGAGGGTCCGCGGCCCTGAGGGCTCATGTTGGACATGTTGGGCCCAGCTGACTGAGGGTCCGTGGGCATCATAGGGCCGGACTGGGAGGGAGGTGGGGGTTTGGGTCCCCCACCACCTCCACCTCCTGACATGGGACTAGAAGCATGCTCATGGACCCCCATTGGAGACGGATGTGGGGATATGTATCCTACAGGAGAGAGGAAGGAGTATAATGGTTTTAAATACACAGATTAGTAACCTAAAGTCAGAGCCCAAGGGGTAGTATGATTAATAACCTGACAGCAAAGCAGAATAAACACAAAACAAACTGAGTTTCCTCCTATCTTCGCTTCTTATTGACTGGGTTATTTTAAGTTTATAGAGCAATACAAATCCATCAAAATAAGCTTTGCAAACAATAAGATACCTTGGCTGTGCTGGTCCATCGGACTCTGTGGGGGTCCCATGCCGCTATGCAGAGATCTCATCCCGACACCTTTCATGTGACCAAAGTGCATCGCATCTGCCATGGTCTTTTCATTCATCCCCTCCATAGACTGACAATACAAAAATAAAGATTCAGGATTAAGATGTATTCATTGTATACAACAGATTCAAATCTGAAATGAACACCTACAAATCTTAAGGCTGGGATAACAATAGACAAATCATGCTATAAATATGATTATCTTTCTATTAATCTTAGAAGACATCACTAGCTCACACGTTAGGCTATATTTCTTAGGTGCTATATGCCAAAATTGTCGAGACACTACAGCTTAATGTAAAGAAGATGGAAAAACACAGCAGCACTGGTATACTGCCACTTGTAGATTTCCACATGTTTATTACTTGCCTTTTCTTTTTCTTATGTATATATGTATTATTTATGTGATTTGTGTGGTCAATAAATAATAAGGGAAACTGCAGCCCAAATACTATTTTTTTACTGTATTATTTCTTAAAACATAACATAAACCAATAGTTCTTAAATTCAATTTAAAGAGAAACTTGTAATTGCTCTAGTGGACAAGTTATGCCTTAGAGAAATGTTCTAAATCACCTTAAACACATATTTGTTATTTAGTGGGAATGCTGTTAACAGCATTCCAACTAACTGTTCTTCTATGGACAAATTTGTATTATTCTGCCGACTTATTTTGCCGAGCTTCTCCTCCCGCATTGAACATCGCAGAAACTCCGTTCGAACATCAAAACGTTCAGCTCGGTCGGGAATCGATGGCTATTACTTTTCTCATTCATAACTTTCATAATTCCAGAGATACATCCCATAATAGATCAAATGTTTAACCATTGAAGTCAATGGAGAAATTCTTCAACTTCAACAAATCTTCATGCGACTTCAACTGCTAACTGTTCATTCATACATTCACTCAGAAACCTCATTCCAACTTTAAAATGTTACACATCTTTCTGACATTATTCATGTAAACCCTACATTCCCGAGACATAATTTATCATGACAAACGTAGGAAAACATCTCGTAGCTGGAAAAATGACAAATAATTAAGCAAAATAATTCAACAAAAGGCTTTTTGAGGGCATGAAGTGACAAAAACGTTCAACATTCCTCCATTAAACCCCATTGTAATTTCAGGCAGATATTTCCTCACGGCGGCAGCCGCACACCTTTAGTTAAACTGCCAAAAAGGCCACATTATTAACCCGAAACTACACAAAAATACACTTCAGATACTCAACTTCCTTGACATGCTTCACGTTTTGAAATTTCACAGATATCTGTTACGGTTCTTCAACAAAACGTACACATGTAAGAGGTTTATCTCTCATTCAGAACAATGAAGCCTTTGATCTCTACAGAGCTCGTTAGCTCAACTATAAACACCTGTGTAATGGAACACGATGATGTCATCGCTCCACCTGACATGCTCAGAGCAGCAGACTTCAGATAGAGGTTAACGTTCCTGCCCTCAACAGCTCTACGTCAATTATGGGGTGTCATCATATGCCGTTTCCATGGAAGATCAAGAGGGCGATCAAGAGAAGAGAGAGGGGAGCGATGAGGGGGCGATCAAGAGAAGAGAGAGAGGGTGATCAAGAGAAGAGAGAGGGAGCGATCAAGAGAAGAGAGAGGGGGTGATCAAGAGAAGAGAGAGGGGGCGATCAAGAGAAGAGAGAGGGGGCGATCAAGAGAAGAGAGAGGAGGCGATCAAGAGAAAAGAGAGGGGGCGATCAAGAGAAGAGAGAGAGGGCGATAGAAGAGTGAGAGGGCGATCAAGAGAGGAGAGAGAGGGTGATCGAGAGAGAGAGAGAGAGAGAGAGAGAGAGAGAGAGAG